GCAGCTCAGGAAATCAGAGTCGGAGGTGGAGGTGAGTGTGGTGTCAGCCGTGCCCGGTGCTGGACCTCGCTCCCCAGCCAGTGGTGCCCAGAGCATGTGGAGGGTGCCTGGGGGGTGTTGGGTCTCAGCCTCCCCCCGTCCCCGCAGGAGGCTGCTGCCATCATCGCTCAGCGGCCCGACAACCCCCGGGACTTCTTCAAGCAGCAGGAGCGGGTGGCATCGGGCAGCAGCGACGCCATCTCACCGGGCAGCCACAGGACAGGTGAGGGGCTGGGGGGGGCTGCGGGCACCAGGGGGGCACAGAGACCCCCAGGGGAGCAGGTGAGTGTGGGATCTGGGGGGGGATCTGTGATGTGGGGAGGGGGTGTCCCCTCTGCTGTCCCCAGCGCCATGGTTGTGGGTGCCATGGGCACAAGGATGGCAGGGTGTCATTCTGCTCTGCTGTGCCGCCATCACCACTACTGCCACCACACCTCATGTGGCCCCTGCAGCCGGGGCAGCTTGGCAGGGGCTGGATGTCAGTGTCTTCAGCAAGGGGGGCTCATCCTGCTCCTTGCTGGGTGTCGTCCATTCACCCTTCATGGCACCGTGCTGACAGCCACGTTGGCAGCGTGGTCGGTGCGGCTGGGGTTCGGGGTGGCTTGGGAGCTCATCCCATGGGGGCAGCTATGAGAGTAAGTGGGGCACCTGGTGTGCTCCTGGCTGGCAGGGAGTGACCCATAGAGAGGCTGGGCTGCCCCACAGTGAGGGGTCCAGCCCTGGGCCTCTCTTTGTGGCTCTGGGGTAGGGGCTGGCTGCCCTGGTGAGCACCTTGGCCACGGGGCCATGTCATTGCGCAGAGCTGGGGATCGTGCTGGGGTGCTGTGCCATAGGGCTGTGCTGGAGGAAGCCTGTGATGTGTGTTCTCGCTGTGGGGTCATGCCATGGGTCATGCCATGGGCTGTGCCATGGGCTGTGCCGTGGGGCTGTGCTGTGGAGTTGTTCCTCAGGGCAATGCCGTGGGTCTGTGCCGTGGGTCGTGCCATGGGCTGTGTTTTGTGGCCGTGCCGTGGGGCTGTGCCGTCAATTGTGCCGTGAGTTCGTGCTGTGCCTGAGCAGATAGTTGGTCCCAGGGCTGTGTCCTGGCCTCTCTTCCCACATGGCCTTGCAGCATCACCTTCCATTCTTCTGTCCTGCTGTCTTTCCATCCTCTTGTCCCACCATTCTCCCACCCCGCTGTCACTGCTGCCTCCTGTCCTGCCATCCTCCCATCCCGGTGCCTCCGTGTCCCGGCCCCACCATGGCTGCGCCGAGCAGGGACTGACCCATCTCTTTGCTCTCTCTTCTCTCTCCGTCCGTCTGTCTGTCTGTCTGTCTTTCTCTCACAGGTCGTCTGCACTGTCCTTTCATAAAGACAGCTGACAGTGGGCCGCCTTCCTCTTCCTCCTCATCCTCCTCCCCCCCGCGGACCCCCTTCCCCTATATCACCTGCCACCGCACCCCAAATCTCTCCTCTTTCTTTCCATGTAGGTAGCTGGGAGACCCTGGGCATGCAGCTTCGGGGGGGCCGCACCGCGGGCGGCTGCCCCACAGCCCACCCCAGCCCCACAGCACATGGAACCGACAGCAGAGGCAGCGCCGCTCCCATGGGCACCCTACACACCTCAGCTGGGGCTGGCCCCATGGCGGGTGCTGTGCCCCTGGGGTGGGAGGATGCAGCAGGCTGTGCCTGTGGGGCAGCTTGTGCCCGTGGTATGGGAAGGGGACACCAGGCAGGCTGTGTCTGTGGGACAGATGGGGACAGGGCAGAGCTGTACCCATGGGGCACGCCGTGCCCATGGGGCAGGTGGGGATGGAGCAGGCTGTGCCCTGGAACACGTAGGACTGTGTCCATAAGGCAGTGCAGGTATGGAAAAGGCTGTGCCCATGGGGCAGAAGGGGCTGGATGGTGCCTGGGGCCGTGTGGGACTGTCCCCCCCACTAGCCAGGGATGGCAGGGCACAGAGTTGTGCCTGAAGGGGCTGGGCAGTGCCAGGGCCCAGCAGGGTGATGTGTGGGCAAGGCGGGTGTGCGCCATGGCATATATGGGGCTGCCTGTGCCCATACCTGGCAGATGTGGGGTCTGTGGCTGCGTGGGGCCAGTGGGCATGCCTGGAAGGGCACATGATGGTTGTTGCACCCATGGGTGCCTCTGCCCCGCCAGTGCAGGATGCAGTGGCAGGTATGTGGTGACGTGTTTGACAGATCATGGTTGGCGTGGGGCAGGAGCAGGGGCAGTGCTGGGGGGCTGGTCCCCTGCCTGTGTGCGCACCCCCACATACACCCCCCGTCTCCCTTGTCTGCAGGCAGCCAGTCGGACGCGTACCGCAAGGCCTCGGCAGCGGGCTGCAGCCCCTGCGAGCGCAGCCCTGCCGCCACGCCGCTGGGCACGCCGGGCACCCGCGTGCCGGGTGACGACACACCAGCAGCGCCCAAAGGTGGGCGCAGGGCTGGCACTGCCCGGGCTCATCCCCGCAGCGCAGCCCCTGCTGCAGCCCCGCCACCCTCCCTTGCATGGCATTGTGCATCCGTGCTGTCCTGTTTGCATCCCTCGATAGACCCCTGCCCCGCCGGCTCTGCTGTGTCCCCAGCACATCCCCGCCGTATCCGCTGCTCCGCACCGGTGCATCCCCGCCGTCTCTGCTGATTCCCCCCACCCAGTGCTCCGCCGTCATTGTTGCATCCCTGCTGTCTCCAGTGCATTTGCTAACACCAGTGCATCCCTGCTGTCTCTGCTGTACCCCACCCCTGCATTTCCCATCTCCAGTGCATCCCTGCTATTGCCAGTGCATTCCCTGCGCCAAACATCCCCACCATGTCTGCATCACCCCAGTGCAGCTCCCACTGTCTCTGCTCCATCCCCCAATGCGACTTTGCCCTATCTGCCATCCCCACCAGCGTTGCTGCTTCCTTCCATGCATCCCCACTATCCCACTGCATCCCTAATGCGTCCCAGCCAATTATGCTGCAGTCTCCATGTGTCCCTGCTCTGTCCCCATTGGCCCCTTTGCACCCTCTGGTGCATCCCAGCTTTCTCTTATGTGTCCTTCCAATGCACCTCTCCCTGTCTCCTCCACATTCCCTGACCTTCCCAGCTACTCCCCCCCACCCAAGTAGGGCCGAGTCACCCCCCAAGGGATCGCCTTGCCCCGCACCATGTTCTCTCCATCCCTGGTCTCCTGGTGCATGCCATGGGTCCCCTCCTTGCCCACCCACTCCCACCCATCCCCGCAGCATCTCTCTGCTGCAACCACACAAACCCCTCTCCCAAGTGCAGCCCTTTCCCTGGGTGTCCCTGAGCCCTGGATAAGGGGGCTGCCCCCACTGACTGCTGTTGCCCCCCTTGCAGACACCCCCAGCCCCAGCACCCAGGAGGCCGAGCCAGCCACCCCCGAGCAGCACTGGCCCTTCCCGGGGCCGGAGGACAAGGCTGCCGAGCCCCCCGGGGACGAGCCCAGCCCCAGGCCGGTGTGGACAGCAGGGGGTGACATCCTGGGGGACCTGGTGACCCTGGAGCCCGCTGAGCCCTCCCCGCCACCCACGGCCACCGAACCCCAGCCTGGGGGGACCCCCAACCCCGAGAGCCTCATCGACCTGTGGCAGAGCGACGGGGCTGCCCCCCCGGCGGCCTGGCCCCTGCCTGCTGCCCCTGTCCCCGAGGGACCCCCGGCCGCACTGCCCGACGAGGGGCCCCTGCTCAGCCTGGATGAGCTGCCTGAGCCCCCCGCCACCTTCTGCGATGTGGAGCAGGAGGAGGAGGAAGAAGAGGAGGAGGCAGCCGGTGGGGGGGGGCCCCAGCCCGGGGGGCTCGGCTGCCAGAGTGCCCCCCAGGAGGATGTCCCGGGCCGAGAGACCCCCCCCATCACCAACGGGGAGATGGCCCCCAAGGATGGGACGCCGGGTCGTGGGGAGCAGGTGAGCATTGACAGCGGGGAGGTGGTGGTGGGGTGATGGGGTGGATGGGGGGCGTCCTGACCATTGCCCCCACCCCAGGCCAGCGAGGGCTACTTTAGCCAGTCCCAAGAGGAGGAGGTGCCCCCCCCCGAGGAGCCATCGGCCAAAGCCCCCCAGCCTGTCTTCTACAACAAGCCCCCAGGTGAGTGGGGACGGGGAACATGGGGGGATTGTCCATCCCTCTATTGGACATCCCCGCCATGCTGACCCCCCCCACCTTGTCCCCCCAGAGATTGACATCACATGCTGGGACACGGACCCCCTGCCTGAGGAGGAGGAGAGCTTCGGGGGGGGTCTGTAAGCCCGGGTCCCGCTGCCGGCACCCGCAGCTTGCCCCGGCCGGCGCGGGGCATGGGGGGGGGGTCACAGCTGGGGGCCTGGACCCCCCCATTACCCCGCTGGGGCCCCACAGGCTGAGGCCTCCGGGTGGGGGCCCCCCCGCTGCACCCCCACCCCGGGGCATCTTTTGCAGCCCCCCCATCCCCTCTCTTTTTTAAGTTGTCGGTAGGAGCCGTGTCAGCCCCCAGCTCCCCATTAGCAGCTCCCCCCCCCCCCGCTGCCCCAGCGCCCCTTTGGAGGGGGGGGACATGACACACGCTCGCATCCCTTGCCCAGCTATGGGACAGGGTCCTCGTTCTCTTCGTGCCCCCCCCCCCCCAGGGAGTCCCCAGTACTTTGCACGAGTTAAAAGCAAAAAGGAATAATACTAATAATGGATGAATATGGCAATAAAGTGACCTGACCGAGCGAGGCTGCGGCCAGCAGTGGCCCCCCCCCCCCAACCCAAACCCCAGCAGGGAGCTGGTGTGGGGATTTCACCCCCCCACTTCTTTCCTTGCTGGGAGCCCCTCCCCCCCATTCCCTATCCCTTTCCCCATTCCCGGTGACTGTTTTTGGAAAGCACAAGTTCTGTACCGGCGGTGTGCTCATGTCTGTTAATAAATAAAGAGACTCCCATGGGGGCTGCAGCCTGCTGGGGGAGGGTGCAGGGAGGGCTGGGGGGATCCCCTCAACGCCAGGAGCCAAACCCGAGCCACAAACTTTTATTCTCAAACTGTAACAAACGAAAAAGTTAAGAAACAAGAGCAGAGTCCGGGTCCCCAGAGCCCCCGGCCGGGGGGGGGTGCAGCAGGGGCCAGGCGGGGAACCAGCCCCTTCCGCGCCGGCGGCGATGGCCCACGCCAGGGCGGGTGTCCCCGGGGTGATGGGGGCAACCGAACCCAAATTCCCATGCCCCCTCCTCCTCCAGTGCCGGAGGGGCACCCGCAGTAAGGTCCGGGGGTCCCCCGGTGCCGCTGTTAGACAGCGGTAGTCCTGCCGAAGAGGGGCATGGAGACCGGGAGGTGCCAGGGTCCCGGCTCGTAGGTGTCCCTGCTGCTGAGCTCCGAGTCCGTCCAGCTGGGAAACATGCGAGGGGAGCACTCTGCCTGCAGGTAGAGGTCCGGGCAGGCAGGGCCGGGGCTGGCCGAGCGGGGCAGGTGCAGTGAGGAGCCGTAGCCGGCATCCAGGAAAAGGGGTTTGTAGCTGGGGGGCTGCTCCTGCTTCTCCAGCCGCTCGTGGCTCAGGAATGGGGCGTTGATTTTGCGGTAGAGCCCCCGTGTGTCCATCAGCACCTCGCTGTATGGTGGGGGGGGCTCCGCCATCAGCAGCGCTTCCTCGTAACACGGCGGCTTTGACAGGTCTGACTCTGCAAGGCAAAGCCCCCCCGGACCCCTGCTGCCATCAGTGCTGCGCCCCGCTTCTCCTGCCGTATCCCCCCCCAACACCAGGGAGAAGCGCACGCTGCGCCGACATCTCCTCCCTGCTCCTTACCGTGCCGGCAGCTCCAGGGCCGGGGGGGAGGGATGTGGTGGGGGTGATGATGGTGGGGCTCGAGGCGCAGGCGGTGGGGAATGGCGATGCCGGGGGGGCTGCCCCCATAACCCTCGTAGTGCAGCGGCTCCAGCTCCAGCGCACGTAGGCTCTGCTCCCGCAGCCGCTCCTCCTGCTGCCGTTTCACCCGCCGCCGCAGGTAGCTGCAGAAGCAGCACAGCAGCACGATGAGGCCCCAGATGAGCCAGAAGCCCGCGAAGCAGGTGAGGAAGGTGTAGGTGCCCTGGGACATCACCATCTTGGCTGCCGGTCCCGGGGGGAGGCCACAGCCTCTCCCTGCCCTCGGGGTGGGGGACGGGATGCTCAGGGCAGCCGCAGGGCCAGGGCAGGACCCGATGCTGCCAGGGCTACCGAGGGCATCTCCCCGGGCCGTGCCCGGCGGCGTCTCCTCCGGCCCGCGGGCGCCCGCCGTCAGGGGTCCGTCCTCGCCATGGAGCCGGGGGGGGCTGGAGCAGGTGGGTCAGGCCTGGGTGCGCTGGGCGGGCGGTGGGGCTGGGGGCCGGCGGGGCGGGCGGCGGGGGGCTGGGGCCGGCGGGGTCCCGCTGCCCATCGCTGGGAGGGGACCGCTGGGGAGGGGGCCCTGCAACGAGACAGACGCGAGTGTGAGTGTGGCAGGCACGCGGCCGCCGCGTTCCCATGGCGATCGGCGGGGAGCCCTACGTGCACCCCCGCAGTTGCCCCCACGGCGGCAAACCCGCACCCAACCCCAGCTCCCCGCCACGGCACTGGCGGGCACCCCCGGGGAGCAACACGGGTGCTGTGGTCACCACAGCACCGACACCTTCAATGCCAGGGGGTGTCCGCTGGTGTCCCCCGCTCCTGCCCACCCAGTGCACCCCACATCGGCTGCAGAGCCCGGGCAGCTCAGCCCCCTGTGCTGCCAGCAGGGAGCCCCGGGGTGCCTGAGGAAGAGGAGGAGGAGGAGGGACGCGCAGAGCTGCCGGCTGCCTGCGGCACGTGGCGCTCGCAGGAACACGTGCACTGCGGCCATCACTGGCCTCGCGGCCACCAAAGAGGCTCAGGGGATGGTGGCACCTTGACTCGGTGATGCAGGGCAATGGGAACTGTCACCCCTGTCAGGTCACTGCCTTTAGGCAGGGTGACAGTTTGGTTATGTCCAGCCAGGCACCAAACAGCGCATCCCAGGGACTGGGGGGAACATGCACATCGAGTGGGGAGCACCACCCATGGGTGTTCACAGATAGGCATGTAAGCATACGTGAGAATTATGGCATGGGAGAAAACTGCCCTGCCCATGGGGAGATGGGTGAATGCTGAAGGGCTGGTGGCTGAAGGCAGAAGGACCACGGTGGCATCATCGCTTCCACGTGCCTCTGCTTGGCAAAAAGGTCCCTATCAGCTCATGGGGCAAGATCGAGGTGACCATGGCAGGGCCACCGGGTGCCAGGGGGCTGGGGGGGCAGAGGGAAGGGCCAGCGGGGCCAGAGGGCTGAGCCCAGCCGGAAGGAGGGATGAGGGAAGGAAGAGGCCGGGAGCTCTGGCCATGCTCTGCGGGCAGTGGTGGACAGCAGAGGCTGCTTCATCGCACGGAAGCAGGGACAGGGGCAGTGTCGGGATGTCAGTGCCTGGGGAGGGGGTGCCCCTTTTCTGGGGCTCCCCAAGCTGACATCACTGCCTGGCCAAGGCCAGCTCGGTGCGGGCAGAGCCCGCCGGTGCCAACAGGGTTCCCACCGGCAGCCTGGGTGTCCCCGGGGGCACCGTGTGGGAAGGGCCGCGGGTCGAGCACCGGGAGGGCTGCCAGAGGAACACCGGGAATGATGGCGGGGAGGGGAGTACTGACGGCGCCTGGAGACCGGGGGCGTTTGCATCTGGGGGGAGCGGGGCTGCCTGGGCCGTGCGGGCTGCGTGAGGAGCGGGGCCGGGCTGGGAGACACCCACACCGGTGGGGGAAAGGACCGGCTGCCCGGTTGGGAGCAGCCACCGGGCCGCCCCGCTGCCCCCGGCCGCGGCCTGGGCCCCGCTGCCCGCCCGGCGCCTCCGGCGGCAGGGGGACACCCCCCGGCGGGGACCTCCCCGCTCCCAGCGCCGGGCGCGGCAGCCCCCTCCTCATCCTCATCCTCCTCCTCCTCTTCCTCCGCCGGAGCGCGCTCCCGGCGGGCACGGACCGGAGCCGCGCGCCCTGCTACGCGCCGCGCGCCTCGGCCCTGGCCGCCGCTTGCCGGTGCCGGCTGTCCCGCGCGCCCCCGCCCCGGCCCCGCTGCCTCCGCGCCGCGCAACAGGCGGAGGCGTCGCGCCCGCTCCCTCCGCGGCTCCCGTTACCGGCGGCGGCGCACGTGGCTCAAGCGGCGGGCGGCGGCTCCATAGGGTGGCGGCGGCGGGAGGGGGAGCGGGGGGAAAGGAAGGGGCCCGGTGCGCGCCCGATGCGCGGCGCCGCCGCCGCCTCCCGGCGCTGCCTTTGTCTCCGGTGAGCGCTCCCGCGCCGCCGCCGCGCGCCGCCCCGCCCGGGCTCCCGCCCCGCCGCTCCGCCCCGCCCTCGGCTCGGGGAGGGACCCGGCGGACCCCTCGCACCCCCACCCCGGGACCCGCCGGCGAGCGGGGGCTACGGGCACTACCATGGGAATCCCCTTCCTCTCCCCCGGGGAACGGCCGCGGGGTACCGGTGGCGTGAGGGCCGTGGCATCCCCGCGGGTGACCGCGGGAGACCCACAGGGCGGGGATCGGGGATGTCTCCCGGGTGACGGCCCCACGGTCCGGGTGGGGTGATGCTCCACGGGGTGATGCCACGGGCTCCCTCATCCGCTGGCCCTGCACTCGCCCGGGAGGTGGTTGGGGGATGCCGGGGGATGCCAGCCACCCACTGCCCCGGTGCCAGCCGCAGCCTCCTTGGGTGACAGGCACGGGCTCCCCGGGGGTGGCGGCCAGCGCAGGGACAGTGACAGGGGCAGTTTAGCCGCTCACGAGACCTTGACAGCCCTCACTGCAGCGGGGCTCACGGCTGTGCGGGGCAGGAGGCGAGCCTGGCCCCGAGGACAGCGAGGGACAGCGGTGGCACTGGGTGACACAGGAGCCTGCCCTGGGGGTACCCCGAGCTGCCCCTGCTCCCGGAGTAGACCCCTCACTGGCTTCGTGTCCTTGTGCGCTGGGGCTCCCCCGCCCATTTGCCATCGGGGCCGTCACCAGCTCTTCTCTGCTGCGCCCAAGGCTGGTGGTCACGGTCCCCATGGGAAACCTCCCCAGGCTCCTTGGGACGGGGCAAAAGAGCCCCGCTCCCCATCCGCTGCACCCTGGGGCACCCCGGTGACAGGGCAGAGCCGTGCCAGAAGCCGGGGGGGGGGGGGGGTGACCGGGTGTGGGCCCCCACGCAGGCTGTGACCCCGCCGCTGCTTCCTCCCCGTGGGCAGGGTGACGGCCGCACACACGGCGCATTGTTCTGCCGGGGCCGGGCCGGAAGGACTTCCTCCATCCCAGCCAGGGGACGACCCGGGGCCGCCGGGCGCCCGCACGGGTAGGGAGAACGGCTGCGGCAGCCGGCCAAGCCCCGCCACCTCGCTCGGAGCAGGGCCGTGGTGGCCATGCCTCCCCCGGCCCCCTTGGCCCCGGCTCCGACTCACCTTGTCAAAACTCGCCTCCTGCGATCGGACCTCAAAGCGTGGCCGCGGCCGCCCGGCAGAGCCGGCTCGACGGTTGTGGGGGTGCCCGAGCAGCACCCTCGGCGGGCAGGGGGCTGCGGCCATGCAGGGGGGCTCGGGTGCTCCTTCGGGGCGGGGGTAACGCAGAGGCGGGGGGCACGGCGGGGCCCTCTGGCATCGTCAGGCCAGGGCGATGGAGGGCGGGGGGGGGGGCAGGCCTCCGGCCCCGCCAGCGCCGGGGGCCGGGAGCTGCCTTCCCCTTCCCCACGGCGGCGGGGGGAGGCAGGCGGGGGAGCGCTCCCCGAGCCACATGGTGGGCTGGAGGAGGAGCCGTTGCCCAGGCAACAGCTGAGAGCATCCTTCACCCCTGAAAATCGTGTGCCGGCGCTGCTGCCACAGCCCCACGGCTAGAGACTCAGCACCCCGGACCCACAGCGCCCTAGCGCCCACTCAGAGCTCCGTCAGGAGCTGCCGTGCCCGTGGGGCACAGCTCCAGCCATACACCAGCACCCCGTGACCCACAACCTGCTCTCTCCCCTCCCCTCAAGACAGGGATGTGGATGAGGCACACCCCAAATGTTGGGACTGGGACAGCACTGGGCAGGGGGAGAGCTGGAGACAGGCAGGACCCCCTCCCTGCCCTGCTCAAGGCTGAGGCTGCCCCAGAGCCCAGCCCTTCCCGCACAGCCACGCTGGCGGGGTGACAGACACCACTAACACACTGGTGACCCCAGGACCCGGGTGCCACAGCCCCAGCAGTGCCGGCAGGGCGGCACCACATCCCTGGCTGGTGTGGTGGGAGCAGCAACCCCCAGGCAGCCCCATCCCCCATCCCTGCCTGCTCTCCTTCCATGGCTGCAGAAAATTCCTGGATTTTACCCCAAGATGCCCCCTCCGAGTGTGAGAACTCCTCCTCGGCCTGCTCCCATAGCAACTGTTCCCTAGCTACCCAGCCGCACTTGCTATTCTCATCCCTGTGCAGCTGCATGCAACCCCCCCGCGCTGCGCATGAGGCTGCTGCCACCACCGGCAGCCCCACCACCGGCCCTGGTCCCCAAACCCACCCTGCAGCCACCCCAACCCCCTGTGCATGCTCCCTCTCTGGTGACTGTCATGACCCCAACCCTATTCACACAGTGTTCCCTGTGCTTTCAGGGGCTGACCCTTGGCCTGAAACTGCTCTGTGCTGACACAGGGTCTCCCAGTGCACAGTTCCCCCAAAGCAGGGATGCACTGCACCCAGAGGGGAGCAGGACTCTGTCCCCAGCCCCACAGCACACCAGGACAGCCCAGGAGGGGCTGTGCTAAAGGCAGACAGGGGGCATGGCAGACATGAGCACCCCAATAGTACAAGGCCCAAACCACCTGCCAGAAGCCACGAACGGCCACCCATGCTCGCCGGGGCTCAGCATCAGCCCTTGTCCTGGAGGACAGGAGACCCAGCAGAGCCCATGGCAACAGGAATAGGGGGGCCTGCTTCTCTCCTTCCAGCCACCAACCCTGGCTGGCCCACACAGGCCCCCCTTGACCGACAGCAACAGAAGGCACAGTCAAACTTAGGCTTAAGAAAAGGTTAAAAATTTAAATACTCTCCAACTTTAGTGCAAGGCAAGCAAATGATACCACAGGTCCAAGTCGGTGCTCAGCCCCCCCGGGGGGCCTTGGCTCAGAATGAGCACGAGGCAGCAGCACACACACGTGCACGCACGCATGTGTACATACACAAGAGACAAGTTATTGCTTGGGGCACAGCTGGGACAAGTGTACAAGGAGACAGGACAAGCAGAATAGAGAGGTGGGCTGAACCCCACACTGCTCCCCAGGGCCATAGAGGGCTCCAGCCCCTGCACTCTTGCACTTGGACACACACCAAGCCAGCACAGCAGGCATGCTGGTCCTGGCCCTGCTCACTCTTAGGTCACAGCTCAGAGCATGACCCCAGGAAGGGACATTACCTTTACCACAGCTTCACTCCCTGAGAGCAGGGTCCCTTATGTGTCTGTTCCTCTAACACCACGGTGGGCCTGGAGGGTCCCAGCATGCATAGATGGGTGGCCCAGAGCTGGCAGAACCACACTGGGGCTCAGATCAACCCTTTGGCCCCAGCAGCAGATACCTTCCAGCAGGTACCTGCTGTGGCAGTGGCTGCGTCGCACTGTAGCAGTCTGGAGAGGAGACCACGATCAGCTCTCCGGAGCTGGCAGCATGTGTGAGACGAGGCAGGAGGAAGAGGGCTCCAGCTGACAGGGAAGCAAGGATGAGGCAGTGACGCTCTGCTGCCAGGATGCAATGGTAGACGCTTTGGCACAGCAGTTTCCTGTGCCTCGGGGCTGAGCAACGGACTCCGCTGGAGCCAGGGACACCTCAGCACAGCCAGAAAGGTCCAGGAAAGATGCTTTAGACACCTCAAGGCACAGAAGGCCTCTGCCCAGGATTCCCTGGTAACAAAGGTGGCACCATCACTCCCCGCATAGGAGGACATTTGTGCCTGTGACAGTGTGGGGGCACTGCAGACCCCCACCTATAGGTTAAAAACTGGCATATGTAGATTAAAAACTGTGATATGTACAGACCAACATACATAAATATACACCAAATCTGCAGCGCCGCTCCGGCACCATGGAATGTATGAGCAGAGCTGCTCCAGCCTGGCCTCAGCAAAATCCCTCCCTCCCACCCTGGGTCCAGGAGGGCAGTGGCAGCAGCACAATCCTAAGTGGCAGATTCAGAAGCATCCAGGTCTGCCTCTGGGATGAGGGTTTGCCCACAGGCAGAGGCACCTCAGCCTGAGCTGTGTGCTGCTGCCAGCCTTGGAGCATCCAGTCTTCAAATGCAGGTGTACAGAGCTGTAAACGAATCCACCTTGTGGGGCCGCTGCTACCTTGTCCTTCAGGTTGGGCTGTTCTGCTGGGCAGAGGCAGAGGGGTCCCAGGGGCTGAAGAACAAGCTGTGCTCTACAGCCGGGTGGGCTCTTCCTCACTGTCGCTGCAGTTCCCACAACAGTCCTGAAGTCAGAAGGGCAAGGAGAGGGAGGAGGGAAGAGAGGAGCACAGCAAGCAGAGGGTGAGCATGGTCACACAACCCAGCCTACAGCTGCCCTCTGGCGAGGAAGGGGCAGGTCCCCCTGATCTGCTCATGGGAGAGCTACATGGAAGCAAGGAGCTGGAGGGGAGCCCCCATTTGCAGAGGAACAGTCAAGCTGCATGTGGGGGTTCAGCTCCTGGCAGACAGACTGGTGAGCACGCAGCTGACTAGCTCAGAAGCTGGGAGGAAAATGGGCTCCGTGGACTAGAGCACCCAGCAATACAGCTTAGTGCCAGCACAGACGATTGGCCCTGCTCAGGGCTCAGCCAGCCGCAGAAGCAGCTCAAGTCCTTTTTGCTGGAATAGGAGTCTGAGAACAGGGCAATGTCAAACCTTCACGGTTTCTTAACCCTTCTGCGTCTCCCAGACATCCAAAGAGAGGAGTGAAGGAAACTTCAAACTGCCCCCTGGGAGCAGAGCTCCCAGCAGTGGCTATGCAAGGGCAGCTTTGGCTCAAGCTGAGGGCAAGGCCTCCCCCATGAAGGAAAGCAGGGAAGCGGGATTAGTGGCTATGGGGCAGTTAGAACAACAAGCCGCTTGTGCTCTGCTGGGGGAAGGGGATAGGCACTGAAGGACAACACTCCTCTTTCCCAGATCTTGCCATGTCCACGGGCCACCAGGTATTTCC